ACTCCCTTCCTCTCCCAGTTTTGCTGCCACAACTTCTAAGAATCGGCTGTAGTTGGAGCTGAGGTTGTCACAGGAACTATCGTTTTTGTGGAGTCAGATGCGCCTCTTTCCCTCTCACGCTCTCTCTCTCTCTCTCTCTCTCTGTCCCTCGCGCACGCATGCCTGTTTGTTTGATGGTCCCTATTTTTAACGTCCCGATGATCATGTTGGTCAATCTCTTTTTGTTCAACGATTTGGCACGAGGGCTCTCTTGACAACTTGAGAGCACACATAAGCCAGAAAAAGTGCATCGCGTTGGCACAACATTGAAAGACACGAATTGGCCGCCTTTTTGTGTTTTGCCTCTTCCTGATTGTTGCTAATTTTCCCCCAAATATATCACCATGCTCATTCGCCTTTTCATTAGAAAATTCGAAAAGTGAAACCACTGGAAGGTACCAGCATATTTACCTAAGGTGGCGTGCACTTTCGTCGTCAAAAGTCCATTCGTCATTTCGATGAAGGTGAGCCCCCAGCCCGTGGCATACACACACACACACACAAAAACAGTATTCCCTTGTTGAGAAGTACCATTTAGTTGGATATCAGGGCTAAAGATGTACTTCAAAGCAGGAGGCTAAGAGAATACAACATAAAAATGCATTTTCAAGCTACGCACGCAGATGTACGTGTGGCAATTTGCATTAACCAGCACACAGTGATGAAAGACAATGACATGAAGTAGCCTGTGGAATAGAGTTGAAAGTGTATTAACTGAAACGTCTGTATGTGTGCGTGTGTGTGCGTGTGTGCGTGCTAGAATCCATCACAGGCAGGTTGACAGGGTGTAGTTTCAATTTCAACTGCTCTCGCGTCATGTTTGATGCCAGAGAGGGAGAGAGGGCGTGTGAACGAACCAGTAATAGATGGAAGGCAGGGTGGTGAGGTGGGAGAGGGGTTTTGGCATCACTCATTTCTGGCTTGATGTTTTTTTCTCGCCTCCCTGTCTCAGCCTGCCTGCCTGCCTGCCTGCCTGTGTGCGTGCGTGCGTGCATGTCAAGTGGCACTCTCTGCTGTGACAGATTGAATGGGAAAAGAGCTATCGCAGATGTCATCTCAGTTGACGACGTTGTCGTTTGCAGTTGCAGTAGTAGCAGTTCGAAGTGATGAGTCGTTATCACACGATGTACATCACTCCATCACACACACACGCCACTCGTCTTTTCCCCGCCCTCGCCTCTTCGCCTCGCCTCCCCCTCGTTCTCTTACACCTCCTCAATATGCCCATCCCCTCCCCCTTCTCTCCAAAAATGTTTTCGTAGCACAAAAAAATCCGTTCGCTCACAAATACAACCCAAATGTCTTAGTAACAATGGCCCCTTACTACCTCCCCTCTCTCAACAAGTTAATGCAGGTTTCACCGTTTATTTATCTGTGCTTAATATTGCTTTTTTTTAAGATGGAAAAACAACAATTCTATGACAAGCCTATCCTCTTTTTCTCCCCAAAGCCCAGTGCTAAGATGGCACAATTATTACAGACAAAAAAAATAAGAACTTAATCACTTGTTGGAATTACTGTCAATGATACCTCCTGACAAAGGGATGGAAAAGGTAGACCTAGCGATTCCCTCATTCTGAGGGAATTTGGTCGAAGTCAAGAATAAAAATGCTTTGATTTTGGCGAGACACAATTTGTAGAGAACTCGTCGAGAGGTTGGAATCATGGTTGCTCCGTACCATAGACATACGTAGGGGTGATATAATGAAAATTGATTTCACACCTCTCATTTCCTAAGATTAAAAATTTATGTGTGCATATGCGAATGTGTGTGTGTGTGTGTGTGTGTGCTCATCATCTTTTCCCAAGATGGTGGAATTCACTCACTCACCAGGCACATCACTCGTCACATGGCGGATATTCAATAAACTTTAACGAAACAAAACATAACACAAAGGTCAACAACTTGTTAGGCAAAAGCACACATTATCCGGGCGCCAATGGAATTGTTTTCGGGTCAGATTTTAGAAAAGATGCACTATCATGGCGGGGTTGTGCATTTTGAAGAACCAATGGCTTTCACGTTTCATTCAAAAAGAGTTGAGCCGTTGTTTGCTTGCATATTTGTACAAGACTGTCTTTTAACCTTCTAGTATTGTTGTTGGTGTTGAGGCTAGCTCCGATGTTGATGATAGAAATTTTGAAGAAAAGAACTTATGGATGAAGCAGAGACACAGAGCAAGAAGGATGAGTAGAGAGAGGAAGAGAAAAAAGACCTATGGCTCGAAAAATTGCGTGTACATAGAGAACGGGACTTCCATTTTAATTATCCCCGTGAGGAAGCCGGAGATGATGGTTGTGGCGGTGGTTGTGGTGGTGGTGGTGGTGTTGGTAGTTGGGGTGCAAGTTAATCAGAATTAGTGGTTGTCCGTCGGCACGGCACGGCACGACACAGCACAGTAGGTGGAGCTGAGCACGGGAAAAAAGGAGAGAGGGGACAGTAGTTGGCTGATCACAATGGGTGGTCGCGTTACAATACGAGGTGATGCGATGCGACCGCACATGAGTACCACGCTCTACGCCTCTCTCTCTCTCTCTCTCCCCTCCCCTTTCCTCCCCGCCCTTCACCACGCCCCCTCACCTGCTGTCCCTGCCTCTCAGCCTCACCCTCCTCCTCTTGTCTGCTTGCCTGACTCGTTATCCACCCACCACCGACCCACCGACCCACGCGAGCACATTGTTAGCGAAATTAAAACGCCACGTGCATTTGTGCTGTGGTGATTAATAAGGGCAGAAACATGAAGAGGTTTGGCTCGATTACAGGTAAGTCGGAATGTCTGAAATGCTTCCCAAGGGATATTCGGAAGCCTTTCTTGAAATGAGAACACGGTTACTGGAGCGTCAAAATGGAATGCAACTTGTGAAATTAAAACTCTTTTTTATTCAGCTTATTTTGATGTATAGAATTGTCAAATCTGAACTGCATTTTAAGCTCATTTGATAAATGGCATCAACTTGAAGAAATTGCAATTAAATTAAGCAATCGGAGTCATTGCTTTACTTCTGTTTTATTGTTTTCGTTCTAATAAGGAAGTAGTTGACTGCTAATGCCTTCAATATTAAAGTGAGTGTTTGCGATTTTAGTCAACTATTGAAAGTTCTCCCGTCCTCACTGTTGGTACAAAGTGAAGTGAAGTAATAAATAAAAAAAGAGAGTTGACAATATGCTTAAACTTTGTTTCCTCTAGCACCTGGAGACACATTCAAAAGACGCTGAATATGCACACTTCACACACACACACACACACGCAACCACCACCGCCATTTTCGCGCAATTGATTTCACTAAAGCCAAACGATGCATGTGCACACATTTTCTATGTTTTATCAAAATGGTGGACTATTAAGTTTAATGAAATGCAGGAATAAAAAAATGGAAGTTAACAGATACACCTGGGAAAATCACGCATAAGGCACCGGTGAGAATATAACAAGGTATAGTAACTTTGATGCATCACGCAGCGTGTTTGTGTGAGGGTAATCCCAGGCCCCCTCGTGCACAATTGACGTAGGCATTGTCGGTGGGGAGGAAGGAGACGATGAAAATGCAAGTTACTTAAAAATGGATAAGCTAAGTTGTGCTTTTTATGCGACTTCAACTGGCTGGCCTACGTTTACGAGGCGATTCAAAATGCGGTCGCTGCACTACTTATCCGCGACAACTTCTCGGCTCGATTTAAATCGAAATAGAAAATTAAAATTTCAGCTTGAGTAATTTATTTACTACTGGAAAATAAGTCAATGTTAGAGAGTATCTTTTAAAGATCGGAGTATACATTCTCTTTACTTACCATGAAACAGCTTTTGAGGATTTAAAACTATAACTTCTTGGTTCCGATGAATTCACTTATGCTGGAACATTATCTCTACATAATTTCGTGAAATCATTGCAGCGTATCACAGGACTGCTATTACAAGTGAAGCTTACGTAACCAGCCTGTGTCATGCATTTTCAACCCTCATCATATAAGGAGCAAGGAGTGAGTCTCCAAGATGGGGACGAATAATTGTTCTGAGCTCGGGTGTTCGGGTGCGTAGGGGAGGGCGAGGGAGAGGAAGTGAGGAAGAGCGACGGTCATGAGTGACACCTCTCGTGCAAACAGACAGACGAGAGTGAGTGAGTGAGTGAGTGAGCAAACGAGCGAACGATCTCTCACGACCCACCAGAAGCAGAGGGGAAAAGGGATAGAGCGTAGAGGAGCAAGTTGTGTTCTCCACCTCCTCTCTCCAATTCTCCCCTCCTCTTCCCCTTTTCGATGCAACAGAAGCAGGCGCCTTGATGATACCACTCCCCATGTGTCAGAGTCAGTCAGCCACAACGAAGACGACTGGCATTGGTGGTGGCGTGCGTGTGTAAGTCTGTGAAAGAAGTGATTGACTGCTCCATCTGCTGCTGCTGCTGCTGCTGCTGCTCTTTAGCTTGTCGACAAGAAGCAAAGGCATACAACCATCTTGCTTCATACTGATTTGTGCAAGAAACGCCACAGCATGACATTAAGGTGTGATCCACAATCCTGTCCACTTATCCTTCAAACATAAAACACGCCTATGTGAATGCGCACGTGAGCCAAGCACATGGGTTGTGAGGTCGACAGACAATGGAAAGAGTAAGACCGGTATGTGCCACCGTTCCCAATTGCGTGGAACAGGTGGTGCAGCCCTTCTCCAACCTCGAAACACCTAGCGTATTGCGTCTTGTGTGCTTCTGGGAGTATTTTCATCGCAATAAATATTACATGTTTTGGTGATAATTCACATAGGATGGGATGATGTTTTTCGGATGTCTGACAAGATTTGCTCCGGTTGACAAACTAGCTGACAAATTAGACACGACAGCAGTAGCAGCAGCAGCAGCAGCATTAATTTTGGCGTCATGTCAAATGGGGAGGACAGGTCATGCAAACGTGTGGTCAGTGCAATTAGCAAACTCAGAGAAAATTAAATCTAGCGTTGGCCTTTTTTCGTCTCAAGTAGTGCTAGGATGACGGGAAGGACCTCTGATATGGCGTTAGCTCTGTTACCACAGCCGAGAGGCGAAGTGATACACACCCCACTCGAGGCGTATACATGAGTAAAATCTGTTAAAGATGAGCATGTGTTAACGCGAAGGTGTCGACTGCAGGGTCATAAAAAGACGGAGTACGCCTGGTCACACTCCACCTTGATATAATCACAGCGCTTTAAGACACTGGCATGTGTGTGTGCGTTTGCACTCACACCATTTGCTAACAACTTCCTCTCATTCTCTGACATTAAAGGCTCAAGAAAACATTGAAATCACAAGGTACAACCTGGACTTGTGAAATGTAAAAAAAATTAAGAATAAAGTTAAGCATTTATAGGAGTGAGAAGAAATTGGTGCAGTCTTGGGAAATCAACTAAAGGTTTGTAAAATTTCCTCACTTTACTGTGTGTAGCATATGATTTGGCCGTTTGTTCCATCATTCCTCATGTCACATGAACAGACATGCACTCTTACTGTAATTATCGTAAAAGATTAATAGACATTCTTTAAACTGCTTAATCAAACGGCTTAATATGTGCGTGCGCATGGAGGAAGAGGTGGATGGAGCGTAGAGTTCCACTAGTGTTAATGCGCCACTTCTGGGGAATGTGTCAAGGAAAAGTCCATACCCAACCGATTGTGATGTTTAATCATACAAATGCACTTGCCAAAAAGCGCACGTGGTTGGTTTGTTTCGCTTACCCGTGGAGTAAGCAACACAGCACGAGAATATTTTGCCGCCTAGAAGTTGGCTCTGCGGTCAATTAAGTTGGCCACTTTTAAATGGTCATTCAAGAGTGGACGCCCTCCTCCCCCCATCCCCTTAGTCTGTCCTGCCTACAGCCTTTTCCTCACTTTTTGTTCCTTCGGTAGAAAAAAAAACAAGGACTTCACACAAACTAGCGTGCCCCACTGAGTGTGGGTGTGTGTGTGTGCGATGGCGTGAATCGACAATGTGGGCAGAAAAACTTGTCCTCATCTCCCCACCTTTCCCTCCCCGAATCGGTTTGAAAGCCTGTAACAAAATGAGTGAGAAGGACAACTACTCGGAGCGTGTCCGGCTGTCGCGTGGGGGGCCCTGTGTGTCGTCTTTGAAATTACCGCAAGTGCGTGCGTGTGTCCACACGTGCGTTAACACACGCGCCCGCCTGCACGGCCGCACGCGGGTGGCGCGAGCTTGTCATGAGGAGCAAAGTAGGAGTGAGTGCCGTGTAAGTGTGAGTGTGAAATGGGGAGCGACCGTGGTTGATCAAATTTGGCAAACAGCTAAAATGGATTAAGTGATGGGTGTGTGTGTGTGTGTGTCTGTTTGTGTGTGTCTGTTTTTTGCTTCTCCCACCACTGCTACTGCTGCTTTGTTTTTGCCCTATCTCGAGATGATGGCGTGGTGGCAGCGATAATGAGCAGCCCTGCAACTCACATGTAAGGCGATACGAGTGTAATCTAATTTGTTCGTGTGAGTTCGTCTACTTGTTTGAGTGGGCAGCCTTTGGACAAAATAGAGGTTTTGAGCTTTTAACTATTTTCGATGTTCAGCATTTCATGGTCTTAAACTGCTGCCGAAAAGTGGACAAGAAATTTAAAAAGGCCAGGCACTACAAACCCCTCGGATTCGTATTTCTGCATGTGCCTACTAGGTCTGTTCCAGAGAAAAAGAAATGAAGCGAATTACAAGTCTACAGACTGTCCCCTAGGGTATTTAATGCCCCCTTTTGTGGCTCGAGTGGAGAAAAACCCATCTAGCAATGGTTGTCAACCCAAGTCAGACAGCCACACTCTCAAGCACACACGCAGAAAACGTCTGAATAATGTATAATTTGCACGAATACTTCGCAACCAGGTAGGTAGCTTGGTTGGTAAGTAAGCAGGTGGATTCCTACCTGGATGGACAAAGGGGTTAGGTATCTCTGCGAGTGCTCAAAGTCTACTTGTCATGGCTCTTAAATTATCCATGGTCTTGGATTCCTGCCCTGGGGAAGTAGTGAATTAGGAAAAGGGGGAAGGGGAGAAGTGTAAGAGGGGGAGGAAGGAAAAGAAGGTAGGCTGGAGAAGGCATCACGTTTAGCCCCGCAATGTCACTTTCCCACCCAGTTCGAAGGTGACAGGCTGCAAAGATGAATGTGGTTGGATAGACAGGTGTCAGGTGGAATAGTGTGAGTGTGATGCGTGTGTGGTAGCCTGACTGTCCACTGATGCCACTGCTGGTGTTAATCGCCTCAGGGAGATCAGTAGAGATTGGGGGTGAGAGAATGCGAGGCGTCAATCTAACCTGCAGTCGAACACACACCAGCATCTCAGGAAAAAGGGAAAAAACATTACTGGGTGGCAGCAGAAAAATGAGAAGAGAAGGTGATGACGTGACGTGAAGTGGGAAGAAGTGGGGAGAAAAGGGAAAAGGAGATGAGGCGACATTCTTGGGAGAGGAACCTGTCATCTGTGTTGGCGGGTAATGCAAAGTTTTGGGCAGGTGCGAAGAATCAAACCAAACTTCGCCAACAGTCTCAAAGGGCGATGGGCAGCTCATAGACATTACTCCTGGCTCAGGAGTAAGGCGATTGCCACTATTCCAGTGTTTCATTGCATCTTGCATCGATGCGCCTTCCCATAGGTGTTAATGTTTCATCTTGACCGTTTACCATGACACATGATTTGGTGTATCCAGTCATTAAAGGGAGACAAAAATACACTTCACAGGTTGGCACAGCCGAACGCCTTTATGGGATATGAAATCTGCGGTGCTTCTAAAATGTGCGGGTACCTAACCACATAAGTTACTAAATCGACCTATTTAATATTCATAGGTTGAATTTATGTCGTGAAATAATCCTCCCGACTATGCTGGAGCCTTGAACTTTCATCGATCCGTCTGAAGGAGAATGTTTAACAATTTGAATTTTTTCTGTGAAAGCAGAGTTTATTTATGCCCTTTGCTCCTCCCACTCAAAGTGGACTTCGAAGTAAAGCCACAGGCAAAGGTGACTATATTTTTAAGAGGTATTACACTTCTCCAGCACAATGACCTGTAAATATTACCACTTTAAAGCCAACGTAAGGTGTGGAGAGGAGAAACGTATGTTGCATTTGATCATGCACAAATCGTGTTTCATTGACTCTCTTCAGTGGAAGGAGGGAAGGCGGGAGGGAGGTGTGCTGTGTGGAGTTAGTTGTAGAATCTGCATTGGGAAGACAGTGTGCTCATGAGGAGGTAAGACTAGAGGCAAAAAGCTCAAGTAGGCACGGTTAGGTACTTCACCCTGACCCTCCACTGAGATTAGGTAAGGTAGACCCCGTTAAAGTCACAACAAAATAATTATGACAGTAGTAGTGAAAAATGAGCACAAGAACGTGCTTTCTGGTGTGGTGCTAATGAATATTCTTCTTTAAAATCTCTGCAATGAAGCACAAGAATTGCCTGTACTCGAGTTAATGATGACAGGGCTCATCATACGCCGAGAGAGATCATTAAATCAGAAGATAATGGTTTTATGTTTGCGCAGGGTGTGTATGTGAGTGGATTTGTGTGTGTGTGTGTGTATGTATGTATGTATGTCTTACAGAAGAGGGTGTGTGAGCAAGCTTCCCGACATTGAATAATTCAAACCCAAACAGTCTCTCTCGTTCCTTCTCTCTCAGTCTCTCCCTCTTCTCTGAGTGATCATCCCCAAGGAAACAATGGCTTAAAGTTGATAATTAAGACGAAGTACTTCCACACGCACACACACAAACATACACACAAAACATTTTTTCTGAGTCCAAATCTCATGTTTTCACCTGACACTTCCGGCTGCTATTGTTCTCGTCCCTGTGTAAGGGGGAGGGGGAGGGTAAAAGAGGAACGGAGGGAAGGAGTATAATGAGGAGCAGCGCCGCGTTGCACCACACAACGGAAGCAGACGCGCTCACGCACATACGCCCGCGCCTCTTTTTGCGTGACATGGCAGCAGTGCCTTAGGACTGTTGCCTTCACCTCCTCCTCCTCCTCCTCCTCCTTCACTGCCACCAATATCACCATCACCAACGCCTCTTTGCGGAGCCGCGGTGCATGCACGCACTCCTCTCTACCTGCTGCCTACTTCTGTAAGGTGGTAACATCCGGTCAAGATATTGCGTGTGCGTGTGTTGCTACATCCCGCTTCCAGCCAGTCAGTTATAGGAGGCTAAGGGGAAGGAGAGAGGGGGAAAGGGTGGTGCTATACGTATATGTATGTGGATGAAAGCGCGGGCGTGTATGTGGCCGTGTACGCGTAGGCGCGCACGCATGTCCCCTGTGTGCTCGCGTGCAGACTAAATGGACAATAGCCTCGTTCCGTTTCTTGCTGCCCTCTCTCTCTCCCCCTCGCTCTCGCTCTCTCTCTATCTCTCTCTCCCTGTTGCTCTTACAGTGGCGTGAATTATGCAGAAGGTTTTGAAAGCGTGGATTTGACATGACTAACGTTTCCGACATCAAACACAGCGTGTATAAAACTGCATGCATGCACGCATTATTACTTCGCTTATCATGTGCTGATTGAAAGGCATCGACGTGGTACCAAAAAATAAGTTCGCCCACATTTTGCACATTTTGATTAGTGCCATTATGTCTTTCTACTAAGGACTTTTGTCCATCACGTCTCCTTAAAGTCGTCCACCAGCAATCGCAATTTCGCCTTCATTTTCTGCATATGTGCAACCCATGCTTCGTTGAGTGAAAACGGTGCTCCTCACAATTAGGGTACTGCAGGAAACTGGGTTGATCAGTGCATCAAGTAATACATCAGTAATAATTTCATTAAAACTAGCCTTTTGAAGCTTGTCTCTGTGGCCACTGACCTAGTAGACCGTGGAATTTGCTGTGTGAAGCGCCCAATGCTGACTTTTGGAAATCGGCTCAACTTAAATTTTAGTCGTTTTGCAAATAGGTGCCACTTGTAAACAAACAAAGGGACACTTGAGGCAAACAATTTGTTGCAATCAGTGCATGAAAAAAGGGCTTAACAACCTTCAAATTCTCTTTCATAGGGTGAGCGGTTTAAATTTGCTTTGGCAAAGGACTGCTTATGAACGACAAGGTATTTTGACCTACTAAATAAAAATCCCTTGTAGCTGAGGCTTCAAAGCGTTGCTAGATGTGAATCACATGCGGTTGCACAACAGAGGTTTCTTCCAAATCAAATATTTGAAATTTCATTCACTCTCTCCCTCTACCTCTCTTGCTTTCTTTCCCTCTCTCGTGCCCCTTAATATACTCTCTCGCTCACTCACTCGCTCACTACTTCGACACGAGAAAGTGATTTGAACAGACATGAGCATGGAATTTGTGTGTAAGGTAACCAAAATAAGACAGTATAAGATTCATGCAGACAGACAGACAGACAGTCGACAGACAGACATAGGCTTATACAGGCGCAGCGAATTCGGTCCTACTCATTCTGCAAACTTGGAACAGTGCGCGATGTAGTGGAGTTCATGTGGATTCATAAGCCACGATCTCCACTCACGAAAGAATAGATAATCCTGAACAGAAACCACGCGTTTTAACTTTCGATTTCTCATAGGCGGAAGACCTAATAGGCAGAGGAATGGGAAAGGAGGACAATGAGGAATCAACCACTGCATAGGCAATGAGCATGTCAATATGGGCGTTCCTGGGTGCAAATCAAAGGGAACATCCTAGTAGCCTGATTTTCTGACACAAAGTTTCCAACATCACGGAAGGCATGTACAGGAGATGGGTGTTGGATTTGAGACCTAGTTTTTGCTCCTGCACCGATTACAGTTGTATCTAAGTGCACTGCCACGATTCCTCATTTATCATCAGGGCATATTTCAGTAAGACGGCCTCTCATCAAGGCGAAAATGAAAAGTTCTAACCTCTGTACCATTACTAAATATATATTTCCCACTGGAAACGAATGTTACAAATCTATGTGCAACGAGCCATCTCATGATTTTCATGAAAAATATGATATCTAAAAGGATCAAGAAGGGAATCAACACAAAACGCTTCGAATCAGTAACAATTAGACCCTTATTTTACGCAAGAAATTAAGGCGAAGAGTCACAACTGGACATAATTAATGTGATTCTGCTTGAAAGTGAGGGATTTGTAATTTGTGTGTGGACTTAAAATAAAGCATTAGCGGGAGTAAGTCCCTCTAGCTCATTGAAAGGATTGCATGACCGTGGGAATGCACTGTAGTGAAGTAATTTACATGCGTCTTAATCCCCTTCAAACAACGCTGGGCTGAGTAGGCCTCTTGGGAAGCTACGTCGATTGACTGCGAGCAAAATGCACGACAAAATGAGGGCATAGAGCACGGGTGTGGATTAGAGGAAAGAAAATTACTGGACAAAGTTAAGAAATGTGGTGAACGGATAATCTGTGAAGTCTGCGTAATATCTTTTGCATTTGCTAATCGACCTATCAAAGGTATTTGTGAATAAACAAACGGCTAAAAAATTACTGGAGACTTACATTCTGTTCCACAGGCTTGAAATGGGGACACACTTCATTTTCCTCCTCACTTGTTCCTCGAAAGCTGGGCTTCTTGGAGAGTAGAGGTCCATTACACTGGCTGTCGCGTCCAGAGGCGCTAGTGACAGGGGAATAGCCACCCAGACTTCTTGGTTTCTTATTTTTTAAAGAGGATGTTTTTATTCGTCGACTGTTTAAGCAGCGTGGTGGACTTCGAACACCGAATCGGGATAAAAGATGACGCGAGGAGAAAGGAGAAGAAAGATCATTTGGATAGGTGGCGAGAGAGGGTGGTCGACGGTTAAATGCATGAGAGAGAAAGCCTGAAATGCGACCACTGTCCAGGCAGTCAGCACTTGTATCCTGCGCACAGGAAACGTTAGATAAAGAAGTCTGACCGAAATTTACAGAGCAGCCATCCTGAGCAGACTTGGGAGGACGAACACGTAAATCGATGGCGGTACCACTCTCGACATCGTTGGATAGCAAAGTGCTTTCTAAGTTTTTGCAATCTGAAGGCAATGATCGGGATAACGCATAAGAGTTTGGCTGAAGGGTTTTATCGTTAAAATGCAAATTCCAAGGGTCCTTGAGTTCAGATGGTCGAGGTCGCGTCTTTTCATTTAGTTCTGTAAGGTAGCGCAGAACGGATTTCTGAAAGTTTATCGCCTGGAAAATTGTGTAAGTGTAGAGTGAATTCAGAATTTCTTGACAATCTGATCCAATAGGTGGAAGTGGTATTTGTTCAAGACATGAATGAAGAAGTTGTAAAACACTTGAGTTATCTTTAAAGGCAAAATTATTTTTGTTAAGAGTTCCAACGGGACTAAAAGAAAATGATTTTGACACTTGAGCAAATTCGTGATAAAGATGAGATGATTTCAATTTCTGCTCAGAATTCGTTTCCGCTTTGCCTCCAGCGAAAAAATTTTCAAATGGAAGATAAAAAGGAAATCTTCTTGGTAAAAATGGCAGGCCAAATGTGGTAGATTGTCTCGCGTTAACATCTGGAGGAATATTCACATTGGTATTAAAATCAACATTTTGAAGCTGTGCCGCCAAACTTAATTGAAAATTGGCAAGCGCACTTGGTATCTGTATAACATCGCTTCCTTTGAGCTGTTGGTTTTCATCATCAATTTTATGTGTGAGGTTAATGGGCTCAATGGACTCAACGATGTCGCTAATCGGAAATTCGGACTTGCATTTGAAGGGCATATTGCCTTTCCGACGTTTGCTAGGACTTAAAAACACGTCGTCAACATCAGAAAATTGAATGGATTTGTTTGCGATCCCAGCAAGCATAATATAAATGGCAATATTATTTATAAGCGGTTATGTGTAGCCCAATTTAAAAAGCCTCTCCTAACCAAGGTCATAAAAAAAAGTGCAAACAAAATAATTTAGGCATTAGTGAAGCTAACGTATTGCTATCTAAAAACACTGAAAGTTGGGCACAAAATCACAAAAAATAAAGAACTATGCTTATTTTAGCGTTAAAAATAGGGTTAGTATTAAGAATTTATGCGATATAAATGAGGTAGGTACAGAAAGACGAGAGCAAAACTGCATGATTGCCATTATTTAACAATTTTTTAACTTGACATTACTTAAAGCATATTTGGTAAACTATTTGTTATTAGGCGTTAATGCATCTACGAATTATATTGCAGTCACAAACGTGGTTTCTAAAATGTAAAATGGATATTTCTTTTTCGTTATTAATAGATTTTTAAGTTCTGAAGTGCTATTTTTTCACGTTTTTACAATTTGATTTTGCATCTATTGCACTTGTTTAACTTTATTTTTTAAAAAAATTATTTAAAATTAAACATAAGATTTCGTGGTGCATGTGACATGCAACCATGCAAGTGACTTTGCTAGACGACGCGATAAAAAATGTTATTTTAAAGCAATCTGCGTTTGAAAAACGGGTTTATTCACGGGTAATAACTTTTCTTTTTATATTTTTTTGTTTAGTTTGAACTTTTGGATTTGAAGAAAAAGTGTAAAGCACATAAGCCTTCGGTTTTGGTCGTGGATCGCTTTCTAAAAGGAAAAGCCTGTAACTTTTTTAGATTAATAAAAATGTTCGCGTTAATTTGTACATTGTTTATCTTTTTGTTTCGTTATAGTCAATCACCAGGCCTCAACTTATGACAAAAATCGTAGGGAGAATTTTCCTGCCAGGTTGCACCGCAACTGCTTCATTCAGGGACCAAAAAATCTTGGTGGACTAATAAATAAAAGAGATTTGGCTGAAAGAAGGTTACATTTTACTGAATGTCAGCAGATTAAACTCGATGTTTGTACATATTTTTTCGAACATATCATAGAGCCCTGCGAAACCAGCCTGGTATACGGAAGGCCCTAAAGACATTGATGATCAGATGGATTTTAATGAAATGAAAATGCCTGAGTTTCATGATCGAGCAATATGCAAATATGAATGCGCTGATTTACCTTCCAAAAGTAAGACTATGTTGTTAACATGTAAGCTTATAGCCCCAGCTCAAGAAGGCACCAATTACAAATGTACTAGCTCTGGGATCTTGGGTAAGTGATTTTTCTCATATGCTATCTTTAAGGACAATCCCCTGACATGCTTAATTGTGAACCAAATGCTATTACAACTGACTCCGAGGCCAAAGTTAAACGTAAGAAACTATTCTTTAATGGAATATAAAAGACCAATCACTTCGGATTTACACACTTCGTGAAATTGAAAATGACTTACATGTACGGAAAAATTATGCAGCTAACTCAAATGACCTTTCTGCATTCAACAAACTGCTCCAGCTTGTTGGTCTTCAAATGGACGGTGGTCAGCATCAGGAAGTAAACTGATTCTTATTACTAATAGCATTTAGTCGCCATCTGATCCTGTTGCATTAAGTCTAGATAAAGCTGTAAACAAGGGTGACAGTGGAGAGCACGAGAATGTTATTTTGCAGGCCTTGGATCATAAAGACATCACCGCCTTATCCGCAGCACAGGCGAGTGCCTTTGAAAGCCTTTGTCACTCAAAAAACTACGCTAGTTGCACAACGCGATATCCGGCACATTTATTTAACCAGGCAAGCATTGGCCATGTAGGTAGAGTCAGTTTTCAAAAAACTTTTATAATTAGACCTTTCGGTGGTTTAGAGCTATGGTGAGTTATTAGGATCAGCAAAAAGTTGTATAATTTAGACAAATGCGGCTTCAGCAAGTGCCTTTATTTGCCAAAAACTGGATTCGTTTACCTTTCTCGATTCCGAATCACAAAGAAATGCACAAAGTAAGCGCATAATGGCACAGTTCTCCTCTTTCAAGGTTCAGGTTCTGTAGGAAAACAGAGCTCTTGTGATTCCATTTACGGAGATGTGGACAGTGATCAATTTAGTGAAACGATGTAAATTTTTATAACTGCATGCTTACATTCTAGGCAACCGGCGGATGGTTATGAGTACCTTTCCCACGGTGTTCCTTTGCAAAATTCTTTGGCATTTCCCGTTAGTTCCGATGCCAACAAAATGGGAAGTAGATTGTTTAACCCGATTGAATTCCAAAATGGAAACAAATTTCTTACACGTCAACCGTTGCAACCATTCTTTCTACAACAGATTCTTCAACAGCATCAGCAGCAGTTAGCCAAATGTAAGCCATTCTAATAAGCTATTTTGGGTTTTGCACAAAGCTTAGTATTGATCTATGACATATCATTAACTATTCGACTAATTCCTGTTTTATCTTTTAATTTAATGGGATATATTATAGTGAATGATCGCATTTTGTCATTAGATTCAGTCTTTACAACTTGCTATCTGTCCATGTCTCTTGTGCATTACCACCTGTTCTCCGAATAAGCGCAAAAGCGTAAACTGGATTTTCAATTGAGGAATTCGGCTTACCATGTAGAATTTTTGCAATTTAACACTGTAGATAAACCTCTACAACTCATCTCGGATGGGTGCTCACATTTTATGTGCTAGAACAAACTATCTAACTGCGAATGTAAAGACATCCCATTTTCACATTATGCCGGACACTTGCTCGTTTAACCATCCGAGAGCACAGTTCCTTACTCACAACTCTGATCGTACAATCCCGTACTTCATGGAATCTACTCCTTACCACTAAAAGAACGATTTATGCTGAACATTTAGTAAATATATATCACTTCTCCCCGTCTTTAGCTGTCTTTTTCCTTTTCGATGCGCATAAGCATCCCACTTTTCAAACATGTCCCATTAGTAGAAGTGTAATAATCAAGAAATCCAGCTAACCTTTAGCCATAAAAATTTCTGTTTTTGGATTGTACCTAACATTTATGGCGATGAAGTATTCACCAACGGTAGTTTTGCAGCTGCGTTGTAGCCATTATTCGTTTGAAACTATGGTTATGCATTCGTTCACATTTTACAGTCTCAGTGGAAATCTCTATCGCGTGAATACAGAAGTCGAATATAATAATTTCAGTGGTTAAATATTTGTTCCTGGTACGATTACTGGTTGCCTTAAAAACAGAGAAGTTGTGCACAAATTCTTCACCCACATATTATTCAATGAGACTCATTTTTGCAGTTGATATACCAAAAACCACCAAAACTATACCACATCGCTTCATTCCAGTAGCGGCAGTAACCTTTTCGTGCGATGAGTTTACGATGAAATAAACTCTATTCAGACTCCGTTTTTCGAGGAGAACTTACATTTTGCAATCGTACAAGCCGACACTTATTCATTTGGCAGATTCAGCCCTTCAATTAATAAACCTGCACAGCAACATGGGTCTCTTGCCCGGCTATCAGCAACCTCAAGCACACCCTTTTCTCTACCCCCACCTCACTAACTCCAATGCTGTCAACTATCCGATCTGCAACCAATTCCCCCAACATCAACAACAACCAACGACGACTGCGGCAACCGCAACGAATGGAACCGGTGAAGTCGGCTCGGGCAATGCCGCCGTTTTAGGCCAGGATTCATCGTTGCAAATGGAAAACAAGCATAGTGAAGATTTCCCCAGACCACCGAAGGAGCTGGAGTGCTAAGTCTTCAAGAAGGTCGTGCGTGTGTTCACGTTATGTGATTATTCACCTTTGACAATTGTAAAAAAGTGGTCAGCAGCGATTGTATTGTGAGCGCGTTTCGAGGTTACTCCTCGAGTGAGATCACAAAGGTTAATAAATTTAGTAAAGAGCAAATAAATTATGCTGCATTTTCTGATTGCTTTCTTGGTTTTGTCTAACTTTAATAGTGTGCGTCAGTCTACTTCCTTTCACAAGAGTAGCACTTGCTTTCATAAGCAGGATGGGTTCGTGATTTTCGCAGTCTACTTCATATAACGCAGCACTAGAAGTGCTCCTGTTCATCAAAGTTGCACCGGCCACTGAGCAATTTAGCGAGCTTTGAATCGTCAAACTTAGAGTACGAGTTTAGATCTCAGATCTCCCCCATATAGCATGGCATTGAAGATTGCAGATTTGAAGGTCAAATCTTCACAACAGTAGTGAGTAGCAATAGAGAACAAAGAAGTAAGTATAAAACTGTAGCAAATGTTTATCAGCGATCAGAAGAGGTGTTGGCAACGCAGTCTCAAAAGTTCCTTCGCGTATTGCTTGAAGCAATAAGTTGGATGATAGGGACGAAGCATCTCGTGACCGCCATCGCTTACGTGTGCACATCTTACCAGTGTCACCGGATCGAACCAGGTCTGATCATGGAGCGTCAATTATGAGTGAAAGACAGGTTCTAAATTGGTAAAAGGCGCGTGAGTTTACATCAAATAACCAGACCGAGGGTGCAACAGAGTGCTTATACGACAAAGCAAACTTTTGAAACGAAAGCCAGTGTTACTAATTAAGTAGGTACTTTGATTCCTCATTGAAATTGAATGCGATAAATCAAGCTATTCATTTATAGAGTCGGTTGAAGTGAAGTTTGCACAAGCATTTGAACAGGCAATGTCCCAACGACGAAATGATTAGAAACTGACAGATTACTAACGTAAGGAGCAGATAGCGCCCGAGCTAGTGATGACACAGAGGACTCCTACTCAGCTCCCTACAAACCGCAATCTCATCAATCACTCCTCCTAGAGCAGGCAATATATGACCGTAACTACCATGCAGTAAAATTCTACTTGAGATTCTGACCAAGAACGAACAAAGGTAATCGACTGCAGTGCCCTCTGTAGCTGGGATACAGCACCATAAAAGTGGTGTTTGAGTATGAGACTCTTCAACAAGTGAATCAGAAACTGTCGTATTCACTCTGCTGCTCCATCACACGGTCTCAAATGAAGCAAGACGAATCAGCACTTTGAACAGCATAGAGTTATAAATGAAGTATTTGTAATGAATACAATAGCATGTAAGCTTTACAAGGCAAAAAAAGATAAAAGCAGTTCGTGAAGTGTACAAGTAGAAAAGTATGAAGATGATGTCGAGAAGGTAATCATCGCTACATTACGAAAGCAGGACGGAGGTGAGATGTTAACAGAGCTGACGGCTACCGCGACATGCGTGTAACTACGCCTTACTAGTGAGCAGCATAATCCTGATGCGCTTCTATTAGAGCCACTACTGCTAAATTACTGTCTGAGATGCGGGTGAAATGGCGTCCGTCGAAACCAAGACGTGAGGACAAATGATGTGGTGAAGGAGGAATGTGATACCAGACATAGCTGGAGGCGAAATGCAGTGCTGATGCTGCATAACCAAATAACATCCGGTAGCTCGGTTAGATGATAAACGCGCTCACAGAGCACATGCGTGTTTAGAAGTCAGTTCGTGTGAATGTCAAGGCACGCTTTGAAAGACCGCAAAAGCAAATATGCGTATGAGACCATGAATGTGTGTGATGACCGGGCATATTCTTCTTTAATAATCAAAGCAAAAAAACTACACATTCAAAAATTGACATAAAAGAAACAACTTAATAAACTCGGTGGAAGGAAGAGATGGGAGAAGGGGCAAAACACATAATAAATAGTAAGGAGCAAGAAGGGAGTTGACAATAATTGAAAAATTAAATGTATCTCAAAAATATTGTTCAAAACATCCGGGGGAAAACAAAATGCTAGCCTAGATTTAAAAGCAAGGAGAAAATTTTTCTCTCACAACTGGCAGATCGGCAAATCCACCTGTTTGGTCGATAAATTGACGGCGAATAAAGGGTGGTGGTGCAAAATCCGCACACCTGGGTAAATCGAAATTTTGGTATGGAGGTCGTCATACAAAGTGTCCATTAAATAAATAAATGATTAGTTCAGTTGACATAGAGCGTGCTCATCACGAGAACATTGTTGGAGCTCCGCGCCAGCGTCACAATATAGCCCTCATTGGTGATCTTCAGACAACAGGAACGACTCACTTTGGTTTGCATGCAGACAAATTCACTGATCAAGTCACCCTTCCCAGTGAATACTGCGATATGGAACCTGTTCCCGTGCGAATCACCAACAAGAACGTCGCCTTGACCGCTTACATCGATTCCATTTGGGAAGTCGGTAATGGATTCACCACCAATAGTTCGAAGATATTGCCCGTCTTCTTGTATTACCACGACGCAATGCGCCTACATGGAGAGCCACGGTTAGCCTAAATCTATTATCAAGCATGACAAACTTTCGCGGAAAAGGAGAACGCCTTCAATGGCTTAACCCCCTTTCATCCATTCATCCAACTATCCATCGCTGTCATCCCATTACCTACAGTTTAGTTAAAATGCCTAATAGCCGCCACAAATCTGTTGCATATGGTACACAAACCCAACGTCAGCAAAGCAATTCTGTGGACGATTGCAATCAATAACAACCACATATACAAACAAAACGGTTGCATGGATGTGTTTATGGAAGGATACGGCAAAGGCACATTAAACATGATATCTGTCGCGCTTTTAAATAACACCAACCAAGGAGGACAGCCAACAAGGGGTGCGACTACTAGTACCCGAAGTGTAATCATTGGATGATACAGCTTGCATTCACTTTGCAAGACGGTACGTGCGATTGTTGCAAGGGTGGAATAAAACACGTAAATTATGCAATTCAAATAGTGTGGCTGAACAAAGCAAGAGGAACATCGTTTTACTAAGAGGACAAAATCTGTTCAGGTCGACATACCTTGAAATCACAGATAAAGTATTCACGACCGCGAATGGCAATGTCCGAGGGCTCCCTCATAAAGGTGCTGCAGTCTAACCAATGAATTAAATCGCCCTCCTCTGAGACAACGAAAACTCCAGGTGTAACACTGTCAACGGCAACAATTTGACCTAAAAAGTGCCTGCATTAGTGTCAACGGCAGGAGGCCTACCCTGTTGGTTAATGGCCAAGCCGGCCACAATATCAATGAACTTTATCTGTATCCTGCGAACAAAATGTCCACTGCGGCTGAAAAGCTGCATTCGTGATCGCTCATTACCCCTGTCACACACAACGTAACGTTGGCTTTGTCGAATTATAGCTACCTTCCGGGGGAACCACAACAATCCATCCACTTTTCCCGACACTCCAAAGTAGGAAAGGTATTCGCCACTTTTCGAGAATATCTACGCAATCAAGCCCCTAAGGATCACAAAGCCACTCACTTGTATGCGATGATTGTAGGTGTCAGCGACAACAATCTCCTCATCGAACCCAAGACAGAAACCATGAGGCGAGTTAAAACGCCCAAGCTCATTCCCCATGGTTCCGAACTTCACCAACAATGCCATATTGTTGCACCTAGCGGAGCGCAACCTCGAGTATTCGTAAAGGGAGAGATTGTAGTTGTTAAGCGGGCTCGGTCTGGACAAAATACTAGGCGAGTCAAGATCCAGACCGCTACGGAGTGAAGAGCGAAACCCCAAACTATTTCCATTCAATCCGCCATGACTGATGTGCAGACCATTGATGGAAGATGTTGATGACTTATATCCTACGGAGACAGGACCAAAAGTACTCGGATCACCCCATGGAGAAATGCTAGTTGTAGCACTATCGATTTGCTCTGAGCGAGCGGGTACAATTGAAAGACTTCCGTTCATCGAATTTCTGATGGAATCGATGGCATCGGTGTTTAGAGGTAGCGACAAGTTTTGAGACACAAAGGTATCATTGTGGGACATACTTCGGTGAACGTTAAGGGTGCTTAACGCATTCGTAACATCACCTATTGGGTATGCGCTGAATGACACCGACCGATCGAGGGGGAAGGAGGGAACGAGAGCACTGTCCTGATTGGATGGAAGATCAAAGGTACCAAAGTTGGTTCGAATGAAGTTCCGCACATTATCGTGGGCTTTAGAAAACACTATCCTTGAGGGCATATCCGAGTGAAACTCAACCGATCTAAGGTATTCTAAACACCCCATTACATCCTTGACTAGTTTGCTAATTTGCAAATCAGTACATTTTGGAAGGTAGATGGAGCAAAATTCGTTGACAAATTCAATATGGTCCATCACCTTCCGTATTTGTTCAATTTGGCTCATGAGTCTCATCTCAATATCACTATGAATTTCTCGGTTCTTTTGCAAAAACTCCTCCTAGGGGACAGTTAGACAGCTTAGGTATTACCTTAACAGAAGCAATTGCATTCATCCAAATATCCACCAATTCCTCAATTTGACTCTTATTGGTATCCTGAGAAACTGTCAAATCTGACAACACCGACTGAAGCGCGTCGGACACACCTCTCAAAACCTCCCGATTTTGGAGGCACCCTTTCATGGCCTCCGCAACAAGCGAATTAACATGTTTCGACATCGAACCCAAGGCGAGCGTAACATGCCCACTATGGTTTACTTCTAAACAGGTATGGCAAATAGGAATCTAAACGTTTAAAAGAAGAATATTCGCTTACCCGACAGGACATACAAAATAGACTATAAGTCTCGAGAGGATGAAAAGCGCATTCTGAGGAACTTCCATCCAATCCACCATTGTTTGCAAGACTTAATGACTTCTTATCATTTTCGGTCAGATTTAGTACCTCGTGTGATGAGAACAATTTCATTACCTACAGCTTCGTCGAGAGCAAGCAAAGTACCTTATGTGTCTCTCGGCACCTGGCGCACAAGGTTCCATCGCACTGGATGCAACGATACTGAGCCTCTTTTCCTTCAGTGCATACAGAGCACTTCACAAGATCCAAACGTCCGTCAGAGGATACAGATTCGTCGACGAGAGAGAGATCGTAGGATGGCAGTGTCTTAACTCCACCGGAAATTTTGTCGCATTTTGGACATTTAATAAATTCCATTAAGCCTTCACATTTCTGATGCGTAAAAAGGCAACTCCGATCAAACACATGAAGGCAATTTAGAATCAAAGGATCTGTGAACTTATTGTTGCATATTGAACACTGTCTCCAAAGAGACTGTGACCCCTCTAGTTCTTCGTCCTTTAGAATTTCATCTGAAAGCAGTGAAGTATTAACCCTATCACTGTCAGACGTAACACCTGACATGACTATAGAAACACGATAAATACAATGTGACAATCGTAAAAAAGCAAATGTGGCGGGCGCTGCACAGAATGCAGTACATTCAAAGAGGAGCAAAATTATTCCGATAAAGCAGATTAATAAAACAAACGATAAAAATAAAGCTTTATTAAGTTGTGAGCCTAAAACTCGTTTGATGTGATATATTGGGCTTTGTGTTTCCAGAAAATTAGTCTGCGCATTGGTAAAGATGAGGTAGCACATTACAGCAAAATAGTCCATAGGAGATTTGCATTGGTTTTGATTCACGGCACCTAACTAGTAAGACTAGCACACTGTCCTCAGCGGTTTCACGACCTAATCCTACTATTTTTATCCTAAAAAGTCACGGCTTCCTAATCCTTTGAATTTTCCTTGAAAGACTGTGGTATTTGAGTTATGTATGGTAGTCCTCAAATATTTGACAGTTGCAGCATTCTATATCCCGACTGGTGCGTCTGGACCGATAACATGTATTTTAAGGAGATAAAGAGCATTAAGCCTGATCTTGGCTCGAAGGCCAGCCCACGAGCACAATAACCAAACGAATGCCAATGCAGCCGCCAGATATCAGGCGGTCACATAAACAAAGTATTACGGCGAGCACGGGAGGCAAATTTAGAGGAGTGCCAAATGCGTGAGCAAGTGGTTCTATGTTTATTCTACTATTATTATGGATGGTGGCGTAACACATTGTTTACGTGACCACCTGATATTTAGCGGTTACTTTGGCGTTTGTCCGGCCCTTGTTCGCGTGGGCTGGTCTTCAGGTCATGCTCAGATCTAATTACTTTATCCTCCTTGGGATACAGGTAGTCAGCTCCATTTATTGCTTCTTCTACCCTATGGTAAGTCCCAGAACGCTACAGGCTGTTAATAAGACGACAACTTTGCTCTTGCTGGAGTGGTACTGCTACCAGTAGTTTAACGTCTTCACGGCTAGTAGAGTCGATTTTGCATAGTGCATCTGTAATACCTCATTCATGTGACCCCATGACGTTTGGCAGTCACGATAGAATTTCGCCTGGTCCTTGTACACGTGGGCTGGCCTTCGGGCCACGCTCAGGTCCCATTTGCCCTGTCGTCCTCGGAATACATGTATTCACCTCACTTTTTTCTTCCACCCTATGGGAAACCTCGAGACGCTGCACTGGTGGCAGAGGAATGCGAATCCGAATTTTTGAAAGGCTTTTATGTATAAAGTGTTTTTGAAGACCTTATGATGCAGCCGAGGTGGGGTCTCTCTGCGGCTTGTTAAAAGCACCAATCTATTGCCTAACAGACACCACTGTCTTACTGGCATTCTCCGTTTGTGTTGCTAAACAATGTCAATTAGTCGATTGATTTCCAGAAAAGAACAGTGCAAACAATCCGACGAGCAAGGCTTTGGTCGGATGATGGAACGTCTCAGTACCTACAAGTCGCATAGAATCAGGAGATGTATGTCGATTGTTCTTGGTGTTGATGCTCTGGGTTTGTGTACCCATGATCCTGATAATCTGTTAAACCCAAAAAATCGGGTTTTCTCGACCGGAAATTCGAAACGCCTCTTTTTACGGCAAGAAGTTTATAATCCATCCAGCAGACAAGACTGCAAAGGAATCCTATCTCTTGGCGGAGAAATCCAGGACAAATAAGCGCATTTTGGCGTTGTGCACCTGCGATCATGAGCTATACATGCGTAGAAGGCAGTTTGACATTATCGAAGTTCAACAGATGAAGATACAGGCGAAAAGGAGCCGTGAATTGAAGGAGGCGCATTTACCTTGGTGACGGAGAATCTTTGAATCCTTCACAAGGAAAGGATTTAAACGGACGTCTGCGTTTGGTTTCACCTTATTCCCGTGTTTAACAGATAAGCCATTAATAACCAAAGCGACACCATCGTGAACTATCCGGAAAAGCGAACGTACGTAACTCCAGATTCAGTTAAAACTGCCGAGGAGATCAGGCACGGTTCCTCAGTCTTGTGATGTCTGTCGACTGGCGCCGTTGTCTCTTGGGTGCTTTCTTGTAGTACCGAATATGTTGTGATGGCTGGCGCGGGAGGTGTACCAAAGGGGAGCGCCAAGGACGCCGCTCAAAAGAAGAGGGGCAGTGTAATGCTTTGTTTATGCGACTACCAGACGTTTGGCGGTCACTATAGAATTTATTTATCTGGGGCATGCCCAGACCCATTTGCCCTGTCGTCTTCAGGATACATGTATTCAACCTCACTTTTGTTTTCTTCCACCCTATGGGAAGCCTCGGGACGCTACAGTATCGTTTCCAGACTTCATTTTAGCTGTTGGGGTGAAATATTTGGCTGAACGTCCGTATCTAAACAGATTAGCATAAAGAGTTGAAGTGATTTGCTCACTGAAGTGTCCACCACTGACACTCTCAATCAAAATGCCAAATATTGCACAGAAAACTATCTATTTACTTAGAGAAGAACTGGTTTTTAAAGCATTGCTATCCAATGCATCAACCAAAACAACTAGCTTCGAAATAAAAGCTAGTTGGATCCCAGCTATCTACCTAGTCATCGCATTTCTGCGCTACGTCAAGTTCCATGAGGCGTACCAGTAACTATTTTTACTAAATGAACATGAGTAGAGGTAGTTCTTCCACTAAGTCAAGTGTTCTCTAGCGCATTTATCCGACTCTAATCTTTCAAACATCTATAATTCGTACTGCAATAGCATGCCTTTGGAACTGCAGGTATGGAGTGCGCTCAATGGCAGACTTTTGTCTCTCCAAATTGGACTGTCAGAGCCCAACCTCTTCCCTTTCACTTTTAATCTAAGTACTAAGCAAAGATTAGTGCCTTCTGTCCCCTAATGGGAAGTCTTGGTAAGCTACAGAATATTAAGGCAAAACACACTACCTCTGGGTCGATAGTGCCTGCATTAACGTCGCACTTAGCACTACCTTAAAGCATCTTTATTATACCGTTTAATTAATTCCGACCCTGAATTTGACAAAGAACGCCCGTAAGTTGCTACGGTTTACCTGTGATTTTAGCCTCCGATTAGGACCTCAGGAAACTTTTAGCCGCTTACTCTAGTGTAACTCAAATGTAAATGCTAAACCTGACTATAAATTATATCATCTTATTAGTTCCGGTCACTGTTTCTCTTCTGGGTGCATGGAATACTGAAACTTCTCGACTTGTAACCGTTGCAAACAAAAAGCATGTGCCAGCCCGCATCAAGCATGGGGACTGCAGAGGCGGTAGGAAATTAGCACTGCTGAGCAAATTCAGGGAAACAAGCATCTAGTAACGACGTAGAAACTGCATAGATTCGTTTAGGTTTAGTTTCGCTGTTAATGCTTGAGCATATTAATCTTCATGAGCGTCAATTACAACCCACAGTACAGCATCCGAATCATGAAATGGCCTGTCACTGCCATATTATTATTACTGCTTCAAACTTCAAGAACGTTTCCAAAGTCGCGAAGTGTGGAAAAAATACTGAATAATTATGAGATTCTGTTCAATATGAAGCACATTTAGCATCATAAAATCCAAGAAAACCATTCTCGACTCGAGGCTATTTTGTAACATTAGCTGCACCGTGTAAACTGTTGTAGGCTACTGTTAAAGTTTTGCAAAACAGTGTGTTCGCTCAAAAGCAAGATCATGCGGTGAATTTATATTTTTTTAATCGTTTGTTTTCCTTAAAGGCGCCTAAGCCTCTAGAACAAAAGATGTAGCATGGAGTTAATTCGCCTCGAGACAACAAATAAAACAGAAGCTGATACCCATAATAACTAGAGAAGGAGAAGCCAACAATAAGACCATACAAAAATGTCAACAAATCCGAACATGAACAGTTGTACTGCCTATGGAAAAACTATTATGCAAAAGACGTAATGCTTCAGCGCTGTATTTAGCGTACTTGACTTCAAGTAACAGTGTTTGCCACTGTGGGAAACATGTTGCCCCGATGAGTAAGGTAGCGACTGAGTCATGCGAAAAGCCCAATTCCTTATTTCCGGCCCAGGTATTTGCGCATCACCGTTTGCGATCACCTCAAGGTTCGACACAGGTGCATGCACGTCATAGAGACGAAAAGCTATTGCCTTCAGAGTGGAAGACGTGCAAAAGATGTCCGACTTAGACATTTGTTGTAGTGTAGTTTTCCAAAGAAAAGATATTATCATCCGATGAAACGTCTGCTACGATGCATCCAGTAAAATTGTTTTCCTTTTATTTAATCTAACATGCTACCTTAGTGGCGCACGCAGTGTGGATTCGCGCAAGATTCTGCAGCACACTGAGAATTCCATTAGGCAAAAGAAAGCATCACTTTGGTCAAAACACATGTATGCTAAGAGAAGAAGAAAAGGTAAAATCCTAGCATGATCCGGTTCACGTGTACAAGTGCAAAACGAAAGCCGAAGCAACCGCCAATCCGGTGCTTACAAAAACAAATTGTTGCGATTCCCACCAAACAAAATCATGCGAAACTTCTGTATTCGTAGTTACAAACTGCCTTCGAACTTGTGTTCTAACTGTAATGCTTTGTTTATGCGACTATCTGACGTTTGGCGGTCACTTTAGGACTTGTCTGGGC